TCCAGCAGCAGTTCAGCTAAGCTCTCCAGAAATTTGCTATTTCAGGACAAATCATACATGTATACATACAGTAAAATGGTACCTCTTTGGGACTTCTGGGAGCACAAAAAGGATATTTTTATTTCACATTTTAAAAACAAATAAAAGAATAAATGATAACTGTTCATCACATTTGTTAGACTCATTTTAGAATTAAATTAAAAAGATTTCATAAATTGAACCAAGGTAAGCAATTCAGAGGTCCCACTGGAAAAAAAAAATCAAACAAAATGGTTTTAGTCTAACGCTCACATTCTGGCTTCTGTTTGAAGCATCAGACCTTGTAATTGCAGAAAAGGTGGCTACTGAGATCACAGAACCAGGTTCTTCACTGATGTAGAAGGAGAAAGGGATAGCAGTTATCAACTGAAATAGGGAGCTGCTGACTATATTCAGAGACAAAAATAACCACCGGAAAACATACACACATACACAAAAAAGCCACTTGCAGACTAATAAAGCATTGGGACAGATATCCCCATAAGACTGTGGCATCACAAGACTCAAGTAGACAAAACCCTAAGTGATTTGGGTCTGAACTCAATGGAGCCTTTGTTGCACACAAAGCTGGACTAGATGATATTCTGAGTTTACTTCTGACCTGAATGATTTCTGTTACCTGGCTACCCAAATGTTATTTTTTTTTCTTCTTGCATTCTCTGAATGAGATTAAGATACACCACAGCAAAAACCTCTTTTATGGTGGTGGCAGGATACAGTCCACACATAGGATTAAGATGCACAGCATGTTTGTTTTCATCTGTCAGGAGGTGACAAACATGCAAAGTACAATTTATAAAAATTTAACAAAGACCGGTCTTCTTCAGAAAAGAAATATTTTTGAAAATAGATTTTTGCCATGAAACAACAGATCTTCCTACCAATATTTCTGACAGAGCTTTGCTGGGAAAAGTAACAGTGCAACTGACATGAAATTTGCTGTATGAACAAGAGATTTTGTTACACACCATACTAAACACCAACATGTGCCAACAAACTTCTCAGATGTAGAAAACAGACTCCTGACCATTTTAGATATATATAGAATATAGAATATCCTGAGTTGGAAGGGACCCTTAAGGATCATCAAGTCCAACCCTTGACACCGCACAGGTCTACCCAAATGTTCAGACCATGTGACTAAGCGCACAGTCCAATCTCTTCTTAAATTCAGTCAGGCTCGGTGCAGTGACCACTTCCCTGGGGAGCCTGTTCCAGTGTGCAACCACCCTCTCTGTGAAGAACCCCCTCCTGATGTCAAGCCTAAACTTCCCCTGCCTCAGCTTAACCCCGTTCCCGCGGGTCCTGTCACTGGTGTTAATGGAGAAAAGGTCTCCTGCCTCTCGACACCCCCTTACGAGGAAGTTGTAGACTGTATTTCACAAAACTTCCTGTCAGCAATTATTAACAAGGGAAACCAATGAACTACCTATCAGAAAAGCAAACCATTTTAAGTGGTGACTTTTTCTAAATAAAGGTTTCTAATATAGTTAAACAAGTAAAATAAACACTAAATTTAAAATAGTTTTAAAAGAAAACACCGCTATATTTAACGTATGAGTGTTAACATATAGATAATGTTTGTAGAGTGAAAGAAATTACATTACAGTGGATTTAATGTACTTATATTTTCCTTAAGAGGTGAGGAACAGCTGCTAAGTTAAGGTCCAAAAAAATTTATTTTTAACTTTTGGCAAAGGTATATAGTTCTCTGTACAGAGATTTCAAAATGTATGTTGGAAAGAAATATAAAATGTCAATATTTAGCTTTAATCCAGATCTTTAATGAAATTACTTCTGTGGAATATTCTAAATATGTATTATAACTCCCATTTCACAGACTGGAAAACTGAAGATTTATTTTATATATATATATTTATTTATTTTTTTTACAAAAAGGGTTTTGTAAAAAGTACAAGATAAAGTGACAGCAAGACAGGTTGCTCCACTCTCCACATTTTACCATGCTTACTTTGAATTTATTCACAAAAATCAATTACAAAAAAAAAAAAAAAAGACAAAACAATGCTTTTTCTCTCTGGGTTCTGCTAACACTGACCTGAGTTAAAATTTTGTATAACATATGAGTTTTTACAAGCAACTGGAAATCTATTAGCCTAAATATTGAATATATGGTACGTAGTCATAGAAAAGAATACTGCTTGTGTAAAAATATATACGTGTAAAGTTACAAGACCAGTACTAGAGTTTCCTGTATTTCTTGTGTCCTACAATATTTGGGAATTTAATTTTTATATGTGGATTTCATATTCTGTGCAAGGGCTTTAAGACAAGAAATGTCTTTTTTAAACAATGAGAATTATGTCTTTTTATCTTTGAATTGCAGTCCCAAACCACAGTCCTAGTAGATACTTGGAATCAGAAGATGTGTGCCCAGATTAGGAGAGCTAACAAAGAAGTTAACAAGTTTCAGCTTTCTACCAGTGACAGGGGCAAACCGCTTTCTAATGCTTTGGTTAGACGAGGTGAACCTGAGGCTCCTCACCAGAATTCATTTCAACTTCCTGACACATGAAAATAACCTGTGCCCTGCTTTATCCCTCACTAGCACCACTACTACTGCTTCACTGACTACAAGCCATAGCAATTTACCTGGGCATGGACCTGCCCTCAGGCAGGTTTAAAATTAGCTAATGTGTTATTTTGGACTTTGTTTTTAAATACTTCTAATCTCAGTCAAAATACACCACATTAAAATCTTCTATGCCACATGTTCACTATAGTTTTTGCCAGACAGTTATGCTGGTAAAAGGTATAATGAGTAATGATCTTGGACTCATGCAGCTACATGCACTAGCAAAAGCCCACCAGTACAGTGGCTACTGCAGCAACAAAATTATTGCAGCAACAAGCATTTCTTCTTTTGCTGGTGCTGAGAAAACACAGGTACTTCCCTGAAATAGGCTTTACTCAAATTTTCTGTGATACTAAGGGGCACTAGACAGCACGTTAAGGAAGCCACACAAATAAAACAGTCAAAACTGACCTAAAAAATCTCCCCAGCTCTTATAAATCTGTTCTTACAGTTCATCTAAAATCGAAATACATTTGAATGCAAGTGAACTTGCCAACCAAGCATATAAAGATCATATACATCCCGCAGCACAATCTCAACCCCTAAAATCAAGAAATTAATCTGAAGTACTATTCATAATTTGGGGGATTCTTTCTATTTCTAAACTTTGGTGATGCACTTGCCAGAAACAATTTTTTTTTTTTTTAAAGATGTGAAACCTGAGAAAGTAATTTAATCTTACTGTAGCATCTAGACACATTAGAAACAAACATCACAAGACTTCCAGTGATCTCAAGTACTGGCAGCAATGCCATAAGAAAAGGTGTAACTGAGAATAGCTTAGATGGACAAAAATTCAAAATAAAAATTCCAAATATTATTTACATGAGGAGAACAAAGACCCTTATTTAAGATGACATCTGTATCAAACAACAGTGGCAAAAAAAAACCCACACCACTTAGTGAGGAAGTGTGGTGTAACAGTACTGTGACTTACTGGGAGGCTTTTCCTCTTAATGGATTTAATAGGTAGAGGTCTACATTTTTGGTATAGTACCCCCAATTATATTTTGACAAAATAATTTTGTTTCAACATTCATACTTGAGTGAGAAAATAAAAGCAAGCATAAATCAAAACTTACAGAACAAAGTCAGCACTAATTAAATATTCTACTGCATTATTTTTTCCACAAGAACTACCAATATATTCTTCCACTCTTTATGCAATTTAAAAGACAGTAAGATTGATTCTGACATCTAATAGTTTCCAAACAATTTTTTTTCAATTTCCTGTATTTACATAAAAAAAATATGATAAAAGAATCAGAACTAAAAAACAAACAAACAACAACAAAAAAACTTTAAGTGAAACCATAGATTCACAATATTCTATTATGAAATTAAAGGAAACCTTAGTGGAATTGTTCGGTGGCTTCTGTGTAATTTCTCACAGGAAACATACTACAGCTTTAGAGAAAATGAATACTTACTTTTTAAATATTTATAAATTTACATTAATATCATCCATATATACCATGATGCATTTCAATAATTATTCTACAATACAATGGGAGTGCATGCTCAAACAAAACACCTCAGCAGTATTTTAAAGCAGTAAACCACCTAGCCAATTTCTGTACGTTCTGTAGTTTTTCTAATCCACTCTCCCTGTGGTTGAGCAAAATCGAATTGCCTCTCACATTTGCAGACAGCTCTGTGAAGGTGATAATAGAGCTGCTCCCTGCTGTCATGAGGCAGGAAATAGGAAAATGGCATATGGGGCTAGAAAGAAATAAAAAGAGAACTAAACAAGAACAAAAGAGATTTCAACAAAGGACAACTATAACCCAATATGCTTTGCAAGTTAATCTCTTTTCATAATCATTTAACATACTTAATCATTTATCTGCACACTTTCTGAAAATCTTGAACGCTTGATACGGAGTCTTCTGTAAAGTTTTATTGCCGAAAGCATTTTGAATATGAAGGCTATTAAGAGCCATCATATGTAATGCCTATAAATAAATGCCTTATTGGTACCTACATTAAGGGGCTAAATCTATTCTGATCTGCTAATAACTGATCTTAGATTTTGTGGCTAAAATGAAATCTCTGAAACAATGTATGTTTAGATTATTAGTTGCAAAAATGTTGAGTCACACCTGAAAAGCAAAATATGAAGTGAGGATTATGACCAGTTATGTGCACTTACAATATCAGAGAGTTCCAGCTTGTTTAGGTCTACTAATGTAAGGTGCAAAATAAGTGGATAAGGATGTTTTTTCCATTTACAGTGAGATTATTTATTTGTTTTTAAGGGAGAATAGGCCTCCAAAAATCAATAACTTACATATATATACAGTGCCTCCATGCTAATTCTTACTGAAGTACCTTAAAAAAATAAAAAATAAAAAGGCTACTATACCTTTCCTTTTACACTTTGAATGGGATCCACCACCACAGCAACAGCTCTTTCCGATAAGGCTTCAAAGCTTTGCTGAGTATTGATATCTACACCAGACAACCAACAGCCAAAGCCAGGGTGACTATGATACCAACCAACTACCATTTCAGGTCTGAAACAAAGAGAACACCAAGATTCTTTAAAAATAAAACCATGCAACACAAGAAGAAATAATAAAACACCAGGGCATAAATTAAGACGATCTGTGAAGAAACACCATTGGAAATATTTAAATTACTCTCCATATTATGGTGAAAACATGGATATGAATAAATGTGACAAAAGAGGGCTATCATTAAGGGATGCACATTAGCAGTAGAAGATCATGCTTTCAGTTTTTCACCGTTACCACACCTTCCTTGAACCAGTTTTTACCCTTTCAGCACTTGAGCAAATATCTACTCTTTAACTCCTTGGCGTCGAGGGTTGAATTTTCACGGCAGAAAGTCCATTTCAGACATGGACAACGGGAACTAACGGTGGGAAAGGATTAAATATCAATTAAACCAGCAGTAGAACTAGGAACTCAGTCAAAAAGCAATTTGCACTGTTCTGTTCAGCTGCTGAGCCTTTTGCTAACATTAATTTTGAAGTTTTTCCCACAGTAAAAGAATTTGAGCAAGCAGACGACAACTGTTGAGGTAGGAGTGAAATAAAAATTTGTTTAAATCCTAGAATCTTTTAGCAAATAATTTCTCATTTCTTTTTATTCAAATTGCTCATAAATAAGCTAAAACGTTGTAATTTTTAAAAATCTTAATTGAAAAAAAATCAATCTTTTACTAAACTGAGCAGCATTCTAATCTTTCAGTGCAATAATCAAAGATGTGGATTTAACATAACTGACAACCTCCTGACAATTGAAAGGCATGAGGTGGACTGAATTACATGCTACGTTACTCACCCATTTTCTGGACCAATTATTTCTTTTTAAAACTTAATAGCAGCTCCTACTTCACTAGTTTTGCAGAGAGCCAGCTGTTTCTTCTAAACAACATGCAGGGAGTATTTGTTATTCTCAGGTCTCCTCAATGTGACTTACCTTCCTGTCTGTTTCAGCATATCCAACATTTTTGCTTGAAATACAGGATCAACTGCCTCCACACTGACACCCTGATGTAAAAAGAAACAAAAATCATGGTAATTGTACATGAAGTAATACTTCAAATCTTTTTACTTGTTACTTTTCACAAAAAAAAAAAAAAAATTAAACACAATGTTACAAGCATCTGTTAAAAAAGGAAACCTTATCACTTTAGAACACCCTTAAATGTAAAAATATCTTTTATAAATGCATGTCAATGAACGTTTTAAAATTCTAAAAAAGATTTTGAACTGTCATTTAAGTAATTTCTGCTATGATTCCTCTTTTCTACCTCCTTTTTGTTCTGTAAACTCTGGCCTGTTGTTTTTCACAACTTCAGCTCAATGAATTTTTCTCAAGAGAACTAACAGCTTTTTGCTAATTCTACGTATACTGACTATGTATGAATACACACAAAGTCAGGACAAAAGAATTTAAATACTTCATTGTTGTGGAGCTCTGAGTTACAAAGGGATCTGTACTTTTTAAAGAGCAGTATTTTATTTGTTAAACGAAAAAGCACCATCAATTCCAATTTTAAAGAGACGATGAACCAATAATTATAATATCTTTTCATAGCATTAATATTCTTACTCAAAATTAAAATGCTTAATTTTTTCACACCATGAAAAATACCATTTAAGATATACCACTATATCAGATCTGTCAAAGAGAATTTGAAGTGTATCTATAGCATCATCACAATTAAGGACACGACACATTTCTAATCAAACCTTTACAGTTTTGAATCCTTCCCTTGGCTAGTATATGAGTTTTTAAAGTTATCAATTCATAAGCCTTTTAAGTGGTATTATACCAATATAATTTACACATAAGGACACAACTGATCTCCAGTGATATACACTCATGTATAGCACAGTATATGTACTAGTCTTTGCTTCAGAACATAAGTTTTCGCTTTTTTTTATTGAAACCCTTAAAATACAAACAATCAAATACTATCTAAGCATAAATTTATGGTATCAATATGTGAATTAGACATGTTCAGATTATATCCAATAGGTATAGACAGCTTAAATAAGATTGAATAAATAGGGAAGAAAGGAAAAGCTTTTAAAAATTATTTACTACGTGGAAAGAAAAAAAAAAAGTCTAGCTGCAAGAACTCACCGTTCCAGACTGTGGCATAGCAAAAACATCAATCACTCTCACAGTGTAATCATCAACAAATTCCCCAAGCATCAGACCCATAACTTCCATAGGGACACCAGCACGACCATGTTTCAACATCTGGAATTCAGACCAAATGACATAGTTTAACTATATATGTTTAACAGGAGGGTCAAGTTTGACCTGGGATAGTTCTTCCAGCCTTTGCTTCTTTATCAATAATTTGCACTTTTGGAAACTGTAAGGCACTGTAAGAAAGTAAAAATTAAGCCACAAAAAGAGAAATAACTTTCTTATTTTGAAAGTTCCACTCCATATTAAATGCATTGCAAAAATTAGTCTGACCAGCATCTAAAGAGCACAAGTCCATAAAGTCTGGGTAGGTGCCAGGTACTCAGCCTCAGCACCACACACAGCTGTAACACACACAAGACACTTACTTTCAGCAGCGCAAGGGAAGAGATATAAACCTGTTCCGCTGTATCGACCGCAGGAGCATCTGTTGGTGGCCCCTATGAAAAGAATAAATAATCAAGTATTTTCTTTACATTTGTTACAGCTGTTCCTAAACATTTCCTTTAGTGTTCCACATTATGAAACTTAAAGAAAAATGCATGTAAGATTGGGAATTTGTGTGCTGGATGCAGTTCTTACAAACAAAAAAAAAAAGCACGCGCAAGCCCCAAATGCTTCTTTACAGCACCTTCCTACACTAACCTATTTTGCAATAAAAAAAAACACTTAGCCTCCATCCCGTCTCCCCCATCCCTAGAACAATACCAGCCTAAACAGCAATCTTATCAGAATCAGTCACGTAAAAAACTGGCAAGTATTGCACTGGGTACAAACCTGTTACAAGACATACAGGCTAACAGTCGGATTAAGTTTCCATTAGTCAGCTTTGCCGCAAAGCTAACCTTCGTCAGCTGTAAAATATGGCCAGTTCTCCAATTAACTATGTGTTTCTTACAGTGGTGTGAATGTAAATGCTGCTGGGCTAGCATGATTAACTGGCACCAACACAAACAGCAATTTCCCTTTGCTTCATCAGCTTTCAGCTAAAGAGGACTTGCAGATAAAGGCTATGGGAGTACTTTGCAGATGCACTGGTACAGTGAGAGAAAAAACGGACCTCCGATCCCTAGGTGGAAAAGCTGTGAACAAAATACTTTGCTCTTTGCCTTACGAGTAGTTATTTAAAAATTAGCACAACTGTCCCAGGTGTGAATGATTGGTTGAAACAGGTTCTCTGTACTGCTGAAAATGAAAAACACAGGAGGCAGCAGTTTAACTGTCCCCTTCTTGAAGAGCACGAGACATATTGCTCTTACATACAGAATTCCGTATCAGCTTACCTCATTACAGCCAATTAGCAGTACATTCATTACTTTGTTAACAAATTGTGTACAGCAAATTTCCAATGAAAAGACAAAAGGTTATCTCTGCACTAAGTGATGCAGAACAAACTTGTAATGGCTACAAAGCAACCATGGAGTATGGGAAAGAAAGATGCTCCTCATTAAATTAAAGAAGGAAAAGAAATGGTGCCGTTATGCAAAGCTCAATTAGAACTTTGATTCCGCAGTTATATACTGTATAACTCTTACAGTGAAAAATTTACAAGCAGTTCATTAGAACATTGCACAGAACCAGATGCACGGGGCACCAAAACACTTAGTCCAAATCTACTACAACCAAAGTGCTTGGCTGGTGAAGCTTAAAATACCTAATTGTTTTCTGGTACTGTGTTTTTTTCATCCAAAGATGTAATTTAACATTTTTAAGTGTATTTTTCCTGCTTCATTTAAAGTTTATCCTAAATTTTCTTCTTTTCCCTTAATACTTGGAAAGCATGAAGACTTGTATTTCCATTTAATCACAACAAAGAAGAAGACACAGATAAGGGTACTTTTTTAATTAAAAAAAAAAAATAGTTCGATAACAACTTTCTACATGTATAAAGCTCTTTTCCAATTTTCTACCAGTTTTACACCAGAGAGAGTCTGAAGTGATTGCAAAAGTACAAATTAAGTGACCTTGACTCTGTACGAGGAAGAACTGTAACATTAACACTGTCATATGACCACATATATATTCTACGTTATATACTATATATTTGATATCACCATATAAATATTCTACATTTCTCCTAGATTTTCTCCTAGATTTCTTCTCTTCCTAGATTTTATCTGCAAGCAAGCAGTGCATTTCAACATTCACTTTTTTTTAAGCTGAAAAGCCGCGATTTCTGAAAATCTAATGTTCATGCTTGAGATTGGCTTCTCAAAACTCAGGAACTTAACTGAAGTTTATTCCACAGATTATGACATTTAAATTGGCTCTCCTGCATGTACTCTCTAATGTCTGTTAATATGGCAGATCACACTGACACCCTTCCTGCAGCTGAGGCATTAATCATGTCTCTGTCCCCTACACAGACACCTGTGTTCACAACTTGTTAGAGTTTAATTATTCTTCATAACTTTTCCCATTTTTAAATCTATTTAAAATCAGTCAGTAGAGTCAACACTTAGAGCGAGGAGACAAAGACAAATATTATTACACTTTGTTTCTGTAACAAGGCAGCTAAAATACTGTTAGCTTAAGCAAGGATAGGAAGAAAATCTGGGCATTAGCCTTACGTGCTCCTTCCTAATCTTTCTCTCTCATTATTTCTGTACTTGTTAGAGAATTGAAATTTTGGCTTGCAGTAGTGACAGTCCAGAAGTATTTAATATTATACTTGCTATTGATCCTTTCAACATTCTAGAAAGTTTTAGACACAGACACTGCTTTATGGTAAAGTTCTCCTGCCAGCACCCATAGCCAGCAACTCATTTTCAGCAAAGGCAATATTGCTTATGCGTAAGGGAACACTCCACTGGTATAAACCAACTTTGCCTAGTGTGTGTGTGTGTGTTTTTTTTGTTTTTTTTTTTTTAAGACATAGCATTCATTTCTATTATTTTGCACATTACATGTAGTTTAAGCATAACCATGCATGTAAAAATGTAGTTTTACACACTACATGTAGTTTAACTATATGCATACACAAATAAAATGACTACACCATTAGTAGACAGCAACTGAAAACTTTACTGTTGCACTTTAAGCACGTCTTAGTTCATAAAAACATTAAAGCTCCAGCTCTTCTCATCCAGTTCAATAAATAAACTTAAAAATTAGCTAATTGTAATCGACAATGCAAATATAGTGTTGATTTATTAGCTACCAGGCTCATATAATACAGTGTGTATTAACTAGTTGCTTGTTTGTGAAGACTTCATGATTTCCCTTTCTGTCTACTCTGTTCTCCTTGTAGACTATAATTCCTAAGTAATTATTAGAAAAAATAACTTGTTGCAGCGTACCAATCATATGTATTTATTCTCACATTAATATTCCATTCTTTGTTCTGGTTATAGGTTAAAATAACTTCTCAGACTTCTGCGCTGATTCGGATGTACTGATTCAGGAATTTTGAGGAAAAGTCTATAGGTTCAAAACTTGTCCATGACCTAACTTCACAGTAGATTGAATTTCCTTTAATTTTCCTACCAAAGGTAAGCTGGCACACAAAATAGTTCAGGTATACGCTTATCCTTCTACAGAATATTATAAGGCCAAAGTTCTTTAAAGATTCTTAACATAAAACTTTTAAAGATCTAACTGACAAACCCAACAAAATGTATCTTGGGTCTTCTGAATAGTTTGCTTTAAGACATGCCATTTGAAAAAAAAAAAAAAAAGGGCATTTGGAACAGGAAGCGGTTTCTTTCCACTCTGACCACCTCCTTCTCCACAAAGGGCCGAGGTTCTAAGATGGTGCTGGAGCGAGCACCACGGCTCCTGTAAGCACATGCACATGGCAGCCACTGACTTTACAGGTCTGGAGACTTCTTGGGCCTGTTTCTGCTCGTCCTCCACAGACATTTATTCATTTCCTTCATCATGAAAAAAGAGAGGGGGGGGAAGACTATTAGCTAATCTCTACATGGAGGCAAAGTATTTTATGCTGACCCTCCACAGCATGTGCTATTATCACTGCTCATAAACTTCACTGCCTGCCAACTTTAACAAAGGAGCACCATCCTCATGAAGCAGAGTACTAAATTAAATTAACTGGTGTCAGAAACCTAAACAAGAAAGCGTTTGTATCTGTAGTGCAGAAGATCTGCTGGTATTTTTGGTTTCATTATGGTACTCAAAGGTCATGCATTTCTCCCACAACAGTTTCGTAAGATTGTCCTTCTCACTGCAAAATAACATGCTGCCTTCTTTCTGCCTGCCCACAGCTTTGAGCTGAATTTTGGGATTTGAGCTAAATTTTGGGATTTAGAAAGAGCAAGGAGAATAATCTTTTTCCTAATCATTCCTGCATAAGCTGAAGAATACAGTAATTACTAACATTTAAAGACTGCTCTTAAAATAATCTCAAAGAACAATGTTGTAGTGTTACTTACTGAAAAAGGATTTTTTATCCCAAATCAGCTATACACATCAGTCCAGTGAACGGCTGCCTGAAGGCCAGTCATTGTGTACAATCTAACCAAATTCTTGTGTTGTTTTAAAGTGGTTGAATCCCAATTTCATTAACAACCAGTAATGTTAACACTATTACAATGCATTTTATTTTTGCTTAAAAGTGTTTCCAAGACTTGTAATGGAAAAGGAATTCCATTCAGATTAGAAAAGAAGATTATGGTGAGGTATTAAAATTATTCACTATACAATTTTTGTTCCACAGTTAAAAAGATAATCCAATATAAAAAGCAGCCCTTTACTTGGGCAGGCCTTGTTGACGAAGTGTTAAAGGCGTTTGCCATTCTAACAGGATAAAAACTAACGCCTTGAAGTGTTATCTACTCAGGCCTTTTAGCAAATTTGTTAACACTTTTAGGTATATTACTCCACCTTTCTCTTAGTGTGAACTGGTATCAATTATTTAGCCAATTTTATTATGTTATTAAAATACCTGCTGATTAAATGTGAACTAAAGTGTCATTTTAGAGCACTGCTCTTTATTTGTAGTATTTCACATTTATTCAAATTTGTAGAAGTAGTGGACTCGATTAATTACACTATCAATAGTGAGAAATACTCCACAAAGAGACACTTTCTATTGTCTAAATGGATCTTAAATACTGTTCTAGTGTCACGCTAATAGAACAAAAGATGATGTTGAAATACAGCAGAGCAGTTTCAACAAAGAAACCCGGTTTTACAGGGGCAGCTGTAATAAAAAAAGGCAGCAAAGTGTTGTAGAGCAAATCTTAGCTTTATTGCATCAAATAACATATTGCTGTGTAAAATATAAGAACCATTGCTATCATGACTTTTTTGTCTTGCAATTGGACCAATTTGAACATGAACATAGGACACACAAGCAAATGCTGACCGCTATAGTGTTTATTTCTTTCCCAGTAAGGCAAGAAAGAACCTTTTAATAGTTTAATTCTGTGAGTATTAAACAACTAGTGTGAAAAACAAGCTGCATGTAAACTATTTCTAC